CTCAGAATCCAGTACAGCTGATGGTGATTGGTCATTAGGTAAAAATAATTCATATGAAACCAATCAAACAATGACCAGTTGATAAGCAATCTCCAGACCACATTCCAAAGCAGCAAAACACAGGAGGAGCAATCAGATAATTATTGTTTTCATTTCTCTCTGAGGCTTCTCAGCTTTCCAGGAGAAGAAATCCTGGCAAAAGGATTTTTCCAGAAAATATGACAGTGACAGGTGGGCATGCTCTGCTCTCACCTGAGGGTGCTCAGCTTCCTCTGACCCTGTGGCACTCTGGTAGAAAATTCCGGTCCTTTGTAAGCCATTGGTAAAGAATGGCCACTCCTGTATCCCAGCACTGTCCTACATTTCCTCTGGCCTCTTTTCTTTGGTGGAATGGTTGGTGTTAAAAGCTATGGTGGAGGCAGGACTGGGTCCTTTGGAACACAGCAGGATGTGAGGATATTCCTGCCTCTGCCTCGATCTGAAACAAATAATTTCACCTGTTTATACCTGTGTATGAAGGATTTAAATGCCAGAAGAGAAGGAGAAAATATTTCAAAACACCTCAACATCCTGCTTTGAGTATCCTGACAGATCCCTGGCTCCCATTGCTGATTTGGGATGGCTGTTTGTAGGGAGTGCTCTCCTTAGGGGCTTGCAGGACCTTCAAGGGCCCTGGGACAGCCACATGAAAATGGTGCAGACCTCTCAGACCACGAGTGTGGTGGCACTTGCCTGGGCTCCTCCCTGGGTGCTCTTCCAGCAGGTTTTTCCCACCATCACCTTTATTTTTTCACATTCCAGACACAAGAGGCTTTTGTGGTTGTCCTATGGCAGGTGCACTGGAGTGTCCTGCTCTTAATTTGCCAAACTAGAAAATGCAAAACTTGGGCTGATCTTTGGCTTCCCTTTGTCTCCTCTCCCTGAGTGATAGGTGTGTGCAGGAGAGAGTTGTCTGTGGTAATCAGGGGCTTGCTTCTTTTCAGCTGAAGTCATGACTTGCTTTGGTGTTTAAATGCAAATCCAGCCCTGGTGTGGCCTGATTAAAGCTTGGTGCAGAGAGGAATAGTGTTAATTTAGCAATGAAAATCAATGTCGTCAGTACCAGCTGTTATATTTAGTGTGAAATGTATTCTGGGACGTTCAGAAAAAATTATTTGTATGGAAAACACTTCTCTGATAGAAAAAAAGAAGGTGACATCAGGGTATGTCTTCTACAGGTTCTGAGAGGAAAATATTTATGGATAAAGCCTAAGTCAGGTAGTGATGTGCAGCTTTGGAGGTGGAGGCCCTGAGTGAAATATTCCACCATGAGTGATGAATAATGTCAGCTGAGACAGAACTTCAGATTGCCTGGGGAGCTCTTGGCAGAGTACTGAGTGCAGATTTCTGTTATTTTCAGCTGCTAAGTGGCAGCTTTTTTGAAAACAAAGTACAACAAATGATTTCCGGGAATTGCTTTTCCTGTAAACAGCTTTTGTGCCTGGGGGGAGCTGTGCAATGGTGAATGGCAGAGTATGTGCAGATGTAGGGCAGAGCTACCATGGGGAGCTCTGTTGGGCTGTGCTCAGTGCAGGGAGAAAGCCTGGTTTGTTGCCCGAGGCAGAAGGATCTGCCACAGTAATTCTCAAAGTGAGTTTGAGAGCAGAAAATGCAGCCCCAGCCCCATGAAAGCGTGTTCTGATGGAGCAGAAGTGCCCTTCCAGGAGCTGGGGTGTGCTTTGGCAGCACGAAGTGGCCCCTGCAGTGAGGTTTGTTTGCCCAGGGATGCTCCCTGCTCACAGCTGTGCTGCAGCTCCTCTGTGGTTTCTGCCTCAGTGGTGCTGGTTGGGGTTTGGTGCTCAGCATAAACCTCCCCTCGGGTGCCAAGCAGCAGCTGGGGTCCACTTTTCAGCAAATAAGGTTCTCAGGGTCACAGACTAAGAGCTTGGTGGAAACGTGAGCTTGGGGATGCTGTAGGTGTGGGGAAGAACTGCCAGAGGATGGTGGTGCAGTCACTGAATGAGCCTTCTGAGAACATGGAGTCAGATTCATTCATTCCTTCCGGCAGTGGGGGNCTGGCTCTGGGATGGGTTCGGGGTTTGGGGACTCCCTGCTTCGGAGCGGGTGACCCCGGAAAGGGAAAAGCGCTGCTGAAAGTCAGTTTCGTTTCGGCGTCGCGGTTTCGCTTCTTTCGTGCCTGACTCATTTGAAACTAGCTAGACCCTGCTAGATGCTAGATGCTGTGTTTGAATGGAAGTTATGCATCGTCTTGCATCTAGATGCATAGGAATTTGGTCAATAAAAATGATGGCATACCATTTTAAAGTGAACAAACACCCTCCCACCGATACAAAAACACCCGAAGATTCCTTGGGATACTGTAATGTTCTCAAAGGAATCCCAAATCTGTTGACTTTTCTAGTAATGTTAAAGGGAGTTTTGGTCAAGTAACTTTTGGTTCCTTGTGTTTTTAAATCCCGTAAAAACAGCCCAGGAGGTGGAGGAGCTGTAGCAGGGATGTGTGTTGAGCAGTGGTTTTCCCCTGTTGCCCGATTTCCCATGCCTGTGCTGTGTTTGTGTGCCCAGGGTGAACAGCAGCCTGTCCAGCGATGAGCTCCTCCTGGAGGACCTGGAGACAGAAGGGGAGAGGCAGCTCAAGAGCCTCCTCCACCACCAGCTGGACACCAGTGTCTCCATCGAGCAGTGAGTCCTGATCTGGTGTGCTTTGGGAGACAGCAGCCCCTTGCTGCCCCCCGTGCCTCAGAGCTGAGCTGTTTGTGCTGTTCCTTTGGCTCACAGGTGCAAGTCCAAGCGGAGATGCTTTGCCCCTGCAGCTTTTTACAAACCCTTTGGGGAAGAGGCTGCAGGGGCTTTGAGCCTGTCCCAGTTCCAGGCCCTGCAGGAGAGTGACAAGGAAACCTCCTCTCTCCGGGAGCTGGGGCTCTCTGACTCGGAGATCCTGCTCTGGAAGAACCAGGATTCAGCAAGGAAGGTGGGTGTGCTGCTTTCTGGGGCCCCAAAGAAGGAGGAATTGAGAATCTGACTCCATGTTCTCAAAAGGATATGATATGATATGATATGATATGCTATATGATATGATATTTACAGACATCTTTTATGAAAATTTTTTTTCTTTAGGATTTTTCTTCCTGAGAAGCTGAGAGGCTTTAAGAACAAAATGTAAACAATGGTTATCTGCTGCTGTGGAATG